AAATTTTAATTTACAAAATTTTGATATTAAAAATCCAAAATTATGTAACTGAAAACTTTATTAAAAAAAAATGGAAATTTAAAAAATTAAATTAATTTTTAGTCTCAAAATCTTTGATTTTTAATTTCAAAATCAGTATAAAAAATTGAAAATTGAATGTTTGGTTTCAAAATTGTGGAAATAAGTAATTCGCAACCTTGGTTAACATATTGTAATTGCATTTAGCAGTTCCATATTTTTTTTAATTAACACCACAAGATTATTTAATTCTTTTTTATAAATTAATTAATATTTATTAAGAAAAAAAAAACATTTGCGAATAAATTCAATTTCAAACAGTAAATAAAATAACGAATCGCCGCTAATAGCAGCGCGTTAACTAACACCACTCTTAGCATACATTTAGGCGTCATTTAGAGATTGCTGTAATTAGCTATGTACTTCTACTAGGTCAGTTTGGATATTTCAATTCATATAAATTTATTAATGTTAAGGAAATAATTTTTGTTCTTATTATTTACACATTTGTTTATAACTTGATGTCGGAACTCAAAATACTAATACACTAAATTGAATTTTCTTTATTCACAACTAGCTTTCAACTGTACGCGCAGCATCATCGCATCGGCGCGCGCATGGATGAGCATTTGGCGCAATTGGTGGCTTTGGTCAAGTCGGTGGCGCTCAAGTACAAGTTAGCCTCGGTGCTTAGCCTTAAAACGATTGTGATGTCGCTGATAAGCGAGCAAACCGCACACTATTTGCGCGACACGAATTTCGGGCGAAATGAGAATCGCAACTTGAACGATATGTGACGTCACTGTAAGCTGTTTATGGCAAATATTAAGCGTATGCAATGTGTTGACACGCTCTTTGTGTATGTGTGTTTCAAGTTTTGCTTATGGCTACGCTTTTTTGAAAAATTTCACGGTGTGTTTACGGCGTGGCGCTTTGCTTAGAACAATATTCAATGTGAAATATGTATATAAAAATTTTTACGAACGTGCTGTGCAAATATTCAAATTTTTAACACGATTTATGCTCGAATAACATATACCCATATATACATACACGTATACATAAATACATATATATATTTTAGAATAAGCATAAAGTATATGGAAATAGAAATATTTTTTTACGCAAAAATTCATTTGTATTTTTTTATTTCATTGTTGTCTGATTTGAAAAAAATACACATTTTCAATTTTTGTACTTAACGCAGCTTAATACGAGTTAATACGAGGATAATGTCTTTTTCTTCCGCCCGAAATTGTATATAATGAAAATATGTCCATAAATCAATATATCTAGAATCTATGTAACAAAAAAATGTATATAATAAAAGTAATTTTCACTTAAATTATAGTCAAAACAGGAAACAAGAGTTAAAGAATAGCTTATACTTATGTGTGTTTGTGTGTGTGTTCGCGTGGGTGGTTGTGTGCAATTTCAACTGCAACGTAGTGCTAACTATCTAAAAAGCTTATCATTTAAAACAATGCTAAGTGAAAATATAACTGCATGTGTATGTAAAAAATATCGACTTGCCACACACCAAACTATATACACACACACACACACACACACAGGCAAGCACGAGCACACACGTAAATGAAATGTAGATGCTTGAAAATGGAATGTGAGTGAAAAAAAAGTATACATTACTCTTTGTTATTTATTACTTTTGGTTATTCTAGTGATGCCTGGCACACCCACGTTATAGACATATGTATAAGTCTAAATATGTTTGCTAAGCAATTTCGATACAGCCTGCTTATCACTTAAAACGTTGAATTCATAAGGGCTGCAGTAACGGATATGCTTATCGAAACTCTTTCGATACATATAATGTTTGGTGCATTTCTTGCATCTAAAAGAGCCTTTGCTTTTAGTCACTTTGAACGGCATCTTTAGCAGATCACTGTTGGCATATGTAATGTTCATGGGCTGAGATGGCACTGAAATTCTACGCAAGCTTCTTCCATCATTATAAACACTTATGGAATTAGCATTTATATCTTCGGATTCCAGCAAACTACCAGATGAAATATTACTGTCATTTATGCTTTCACCAGGTGATGAGGTGATCGTTGTGGTTGTTGTGACGACTGCAGGCGATACACCGGTAACTGATGTTGTGGTTGATGTAACTGGTGTTAAAACGGTGTCGCCACTTGGAATGGCGCCGGGTGTTAAATGTACTTTGTGTAAGTTTAATATGTGGGAGAGCATGAAATTTCGTCGCGATATAGTAAAGCTGCATACTTTGCATTTGAAATATGATTTGTAGGGTAAATGTGTGAACAGATGTTGCTGCAGATCGGCAATGTGCTGTGAGAAGATTTCGACCGTGCATTCGGAGCATTTGAAATGATCACCGAAACGATTTTCCGCTGTTTTCTCTAGGAAGTTGTGACTGTGAGGAAGAGATAATAGGGAATATATATTAATAAAAGAAAGATAAATAGAGGGATTATGTGTACTACAAAAATTCAACTCCATTAAAAAATGTAGGAGATGACTTCACCATTAATATTATATATTAAACTAAAACGATAACGGATATAGTAAGGTTGCTAACGAGTTTGTAACACGCAGCACGAAACGTCGAAGACATAAAATAAATATATAAATGATCAGCATGACGAGCTGATTCAATTTAATAAGGTCCGTCTGTCTGTCTATCTCTACAAAGGTGAATTAAACTGACCATTCTTGAATTATCGAACTAAAATTTTATACAAGTAGTTTATTCCTCAAAATGCTGATAATTTGTTGAACCGATTTCAGACCACTATAGAATATAGCTGCTGTACAAATTAACACAAACTAGGATAACTTTTATGAAAAACTTGCTTAATTATCATGAATTATTTTCCAAGGCAATGGATTAATATAAAACGTTGTTCAGCTCTCATACAAACAGACTGATAAAAATCAAGTAAGTATTTTGTATTTGCGAATTATAGCTTCGAAGCAACCGAAATTGAAATTTTTTTTTTTGTTTGTTTTTAACTCAAACACTTTGGAACACATTTCACTTTTCTTCTCTTGAAACTAAACCAAATCTTCTTTCTAAAATTTTCTTACAAATTGTTTTGAAAAAATATCGAAATTCACCTAAAATTTATGTGCGCCTGCCAAGCATCCTCTGTCTCAAAAGTTAAACCACAAGCCGGACATATGTATGAAATTAAAGCGCGACTCTCGTGCTCCCACAGCGCTTTTTCACGTGCTGTCGGCACGTCATTACTATTTTTGGCACTAGCGCTGCAGCTGGCATCTCTCTCCTTGTGCAACATAATATGCGAAATCATCAAAAACATACTATGTTCCTGGTACGGACACAATTTGCAATGGTACACTTTGTGCGGCAAGTGTGTAAAGTGATGTTGTTGCAAAGTTTTTAGCGTACAACGCGTAAAAATTTCGTGGCATTTGGCACATTCGAACTCATTGTTCGGTCGTCGTTTGAAATTCCAATTTTTATTATCGCCCAACTGATGCGCCATCTCTATATGGCGCCTCCATTGTGGATGTGCATCATAGCGTTCACCACATTGTGGGCAGGTGAAGTAAATATAGTGATTGTTCTCATGTTCCGCGTTCGTTGTATGTGGTAAGACTTCATTCAGATCACAAACTGGTTCAATTTTACACAATGCTAAAAGCTCATCCTCACAATCACTATAATCTGTTGTCGCTGCTGTATGAATTGATGTTTGATTTTTTTCATTACATATTTTATCCTTTTGCTGCTGTTGATTAATGTAATCATGGTTGGGCTCTTTTTTACACTCCACTTTTAGCTCGATAGGTCGTGGAAGCGCAACATTTTTGTCAACATCAATTTCGCATAGAAACTCAAATTGAGGCTCTGAAGCGGCAGATATAGTCGATGAGTCTTCATCGTCGCTATCGTTGATAACAAGCACACCACTTGTATCCGTACTATAACCACTTGTTTTTGAACTGTTGGTCAGAGCTGAAACAACAGATGCAAACAGAAATAAAAATATATAGATATGAATTGTTCACTAATGCCAAACTTAATTAAATAATATATTACATACCTTTTTTTGGCTGTGTGCAAGGCAAGAACGAATAAAAGCGCAAAGATACATCTGAAGCAGCTGCAGTATTGTTAGGCAGAGCTTTGGATGTAGGCGCCATTGCTGCTGCTTCCATCAGTTAAGTAGTTAGTATATCAAACACTATTACTATTTCCTCGAGAATATTAAAAAATAATAATCACTAAACTAATAAACAAATTGTATTCCAAGACAATAAAATCATCACAATACTTTAGCTATAAAAAAATAAATCATTTTGACTTATATACACTCCGAAAATACAGAGTTGCATAGGTTTTATATTCGAGATCGTGATGCCATACCTGTAAAAAAGTAAATTATTAAAATATACCGAATTCTAAAAAACTTCTTGGTATTTTATAAAATTTGTTTTAATAATGAAAAAAACAAAAACAAAAGAAAAAACAAATTCGTATGTAAAAATTTTGATGCCTATATAACTTATATTATTGTAAATAAAATATGGTTTTTTTTTACAACCATTATACGCACATCTTAAAACTAGACATTGGTATTTTAAAAAATATAGTTTTATTGAAATTTTTTAATTTCATTACACATTTAATAAATATTAATTAAAAATTAAACGGTTGTATAGTACTTATACATTTATAATTTATATATCGTTAACGAACACATCTACATTTAGTACTTTTAATTGAATTAATCTTGCAACGCTGCAACACTTTATTAGAAGGAATTTGACCAACAGTGCGGCATATTTTGCAATCAGTTTTCCTCCATTAATTTGTGTTTTTCTCGAGTAAATTTATTGCATTTAAATGTAAGTAAAAGCGATAGTATAATTGATTAACGTTTGCTTTGATATTTACGTTTTATTCTTACCAAAAGACAACTGATTCACAATGGCACAGAGTAAACTAAATGATTTGGCTGGCAAATTGGGCAAAGGTGGTCCACCAGGATTAACAACGGGCATTAAGTTGTTGGCTGCTGTTGGTGCTGCTGCTTATGGCATCAATCAATCCTTATACACAGGTAAAGTTTTCAGCTTGATAGTTTAAGGCAAAATTAAGCAAAATGAAATAAAACATGTTGATGACATAACCTCAATGTGTGAATTATCAGCGAAGCTTTTGCGGACCGTAACAAATTTCATAATGAGACTGCAACATTGCATTCAATTATTCTGAAAATGTTTGTAGTTTTTTACGTACTGCTGATATAATTTTCATTTACATGCTAGATGTAGTGAATTGCTAATATGCACATGTGCCGGCTGTCTTTCAATTCCGCCGGTTGCATAACTACAATAAAAATTTCATCAACACTATTGCAACTTTAAGCATAAATATGTTTATGTACTATAATGTTTTACTAATATTTTCAGTGGATGGTGGTCATCGTGCTATCATTTTTAGTCGTATTGGTGGCATACAAAACGAGATATACTCAGAAGGTTTACATTTCCGCATTCCCTGGTTCCAATATCCAATTGTCTATGACATTCGCTCGCGTCCCCGTAAAATCTCATCACCAACTGGCTCAAAGGATTTACAGATGATAAATATTTCGTTGCGTGTGCTCTCACGTCCCGACTCAGTGCGTCTTCCTATATTACACCGTCAACTTGGTGTCGATTATGATGAGAAAGTGTTGCCATCAATTTGCAATGAAGTGCTAAAAAGTGTCGTAGCTAAATTCAATGCCTCACAATTGATCACACAACGTCAGCAAGTACAGAGCAATTGTAGTTTATTGCGAGACACATTTTCTAACAACAATTTATTTTCCTGAAGGTTTCTTTGCTAATCCGCAGGGAATTGGTGGAGCGTGCACGTGACTTCAACATTATTTTGGATGATGTTTCGCTCACTGAACTGAGTTTCGGCAAGGAATATACCGCAGCCGTTGAAGCCAAACAGGTCGCCCAGCAAGAAGCACAACGTGCTGTCTTCTTCGTGGAACGCGCCAAGCAAGAGAAACAACAAAAAATCGTACAAGCTGAGGGTGAAGCTGAAGCCGCTAAAATGTTGGGTCTCGCTGTGAAACAGAACCCCGCCTACTTGAAGTTGCGTAAAATACGTGCTGCTCAAAGCATAGCAAGAACTGTAAGTTTTTTTTGTTTTATTTTAAAAATTGCAGTTTTTTCGTAATATTAATTGGTGTAATTTGTTTTATTTAGATTGCAAGCTCACAAAACAAGGTCTACCTCTCAGCCGATAGCTTGATGTTGAACATTCAGGATTCCGGTTTCGATGATATGACTGAGAAAGTTTACAAAAGTAAATAAATTTGTTTCCCTCTAAAAACCAAAATTATGGCAAAAAGTAACATGAAAGAATTAACAAAAAATGTTTAAAATCATACTTTAAAAATTTGTATTCTTACTTTTGTGCAAATGAATTGGCAAATTTGTTTTACCTTGCCAGATCTTTGTATGAAATTGAAGTAGAACTGAAACCTTCGCGCTTAGAAGAAATTCGAACTTTTTTGTTAATTCTAATTTTTCATTAAAATCTATACTCATGTTACAATTGCATACATACTATATTAGTTAGTTCTTAAGCTTAAAAAGTCACCGGAAATGTATGTTTTTGAGTTCTTATTCCAGAACAAAATATATGATTAATTTCGTTACAAAATTTCATTGGCAAGCATTCTTTTTTGTTAGTTTTTCACCAATACAATATATACGGACTGGAATGTTAGTATTTGTTTTTAATATTTTCTTTTTTTTTTTATATGACTCTCTTTTCTTGATTTCTTCAACGCTCAACCCAAAGGAGTTTATGAATTGAGTAGTAAAGAAGCGCAAGATTAATTGTGCCCAAACAAACTGCCTTAGCAAAATAAAATAAATAAAAACGCGCCGTGTTAAAAAATGAGTTGTGTTTCAATTACCATATAAAACGTCTTTTGTTTATGTGAAAACTCATACAGCATACTCTCACCTCAACGCGCCTTCATACCGCTTCATTCCATGCCGCTGCAATAAATTGGGAAAAATTAGCAAAAGAAAGCACTTCCAAACAAGTAACGTCTTCTTCTTTGCTAATAATTCCAATTTGTTCTTTGTTTTTTTTTTTATTAATTTTTGCAGTCGAATCGGGTTGGTTTGATGGAGCTAAGAAGCGAAGTGATAAATCGTCGACAACCGTTGGCACTGTCGCCCGACGTACGGCGGACCGTTTGCTTTAAAACGAAAGTGTGCAGCTATTTTTAACTAAATTGACACATTAACTACTCATAGTACCTACATACAATCAAGCATTTACTGAAATGTTTCCTTAAATAATTTTTGTTTTTAATAATTACTTGTGCTTCGCTAGCGTTAAATAGCGATTTTGAATTGTTTCTATGATATGATTGCGTGAGCCTCAGTTGTGTACCTTGAAATTATTTTGAAAATAATAAAGTCGTTCCACAAAAAGATCACGTGAAATTATTGTTGGAATAACATAATTGGTTTTTAAGAAGGCTTATAGTCTTTATCACTTATTTATATCAGTTCGGATGAAAACTAAGAAGAGAAAACGCAATTTTTTACGGGGTATGTCTATACGAAATGGGGTGAATGGATCGATCTTCGAATGGGTGTCATCTGGACAGTTAATAACTCCGGTGCGTTGTGTTCCCTAAAACTCCCATAAAATTGTGGGACGGGTGATAACAGTTTCGGCTATTCTGCCGAGATGTTTCAATCTCAGTCTTGCAAAACTGGACAATGGAGGAGAGAGTGCCTAATTCATAAACTCAGTTGCGCCTTATAACGTATGTACGTTCAATTCTGGATATGGCATGATTGGAACAACTAGTCTACGGTATTTTCAAAATTTCGAAATGCTTTGAGTAAACTCGAAAAAATCCGGCGCGACACTGACGTTGCTATTCAAAGATAATCGGGGAGAAAGCAAAACCGGATCGGCCGAAGAATTTGATTAGTTTATTAGAATCCCTACAAATTTTGTAAACGCTTGAATATAAATCGATCAGGAAAAGCTTGAATACAACTTTTTGTTCTAAAGTAATAAAAGGATTAATCTTATCTAAAGTACAGAACGTGGTCGGTTATGAATTCGAGTTGATTTCAGATACTCGGCTCCGACTATAGTGGAAGTGATACTTTAGACAGCGCGGAATTCAGGGTTTCAGTTCCCTCTCGCTTAGATAGATAGATAGATAGATAGATAGATAAATAATTGAGGAATGCACTGCGACCTTAGGTCTATTGTGCCCTCACCTA